GTTTATTTATTTTAATAGACACTTATTGGATTCATGGAAAGAGAGTTTGGCGACTAAGGAACAAGAGCTGAATATTATCTGCTCATTTCACGCTGCAGAGTCCCAAACTGAGCAGAGGGAAGAGGCTGAGAAAGTTTGACCAGAGGACTCCCTGTGATCCTGTGTAGAAAGGGAACTTTCTCTGGATAATGCATCATTTCTTTTCTAATCTTTCAAGACTAATGTTGATCATTGCTGCTTTTTTCCCTTTTGTCACATATGTTGACATTTTCTGCACTGATGATAGGGGTGAGAAAATGGTCTTTTGATTTATTTTTGAGATTTATTCCTGAATCACTCTTACTAAAAACACTTCATTTGCCTGCTCATACTTTCATGGGAGACCCTAGAAAATGTCAGTAGAGAAAACCAACTATATCATTATTTAGTAATTTCAATTTGAAGGCAGGGAAGCACGAGATTTGTTTAATTAGCTTTATCTAGGCTGGAGGTTTCTCACAGTCCAGCACAGTCCAGGGAGATGGGCTGCTTGTGAATGAGCCCCATGGATGCACAGCTACTTCCTTCTTCCATGGCTCTGAGTAAAGATGCTGCTAGAAGCGTGAGTACTGGCCTGTAACCCCAACTAACTTGTTCTCAACTTTTCCCGTGTACTTGTACTTCAATCAGAAATTTGGTCCTTGATTGACCATAGGTTGATCACCATCTGCAGTATGCTTGTGCATACATTCTTTGAGTGCTGGAAAACCTGATCTCATTGTAGCCTGGTAACTCTGAGTGCCACAGCAACCTCCCCTGCTCTAGGATAAGACTAGCAAAAGTGAAAGGGTCAGGCTGTAATAAAATGGCTCAGGATAAATAAGAAGAGAAAGAATATGGCTTGTGACTGTTGCACCACATAACTGTCCCTCAAGGGGGTTTTGGTGTGCCAGGGCTAATGCCTTGATGTAGTAAGCACGCTGTTTCTTTAACAGCATAAAAGCACAATGGGAATGGATGGCTTCCTGCAGATATTTGTTGATGTTTGCTTAACTATGTGGAAATGTATTTGATTTTGAGACAGCGAGAAAGGTCAAAAATAGGAAATTAATGTGATATTATTTGTTTTATCAAATAAAATGCTTAGATGTTTATCTTGTCTCACAAGAGCAACAGAAATAAAGGCTGACACTTCTCTGCAGCTCTCCTTAGTGAGCTGATTTGGGCTGCGTTCTCGATGCCTCTACAAGTTTTGGGGTGAAACGAAGGAAGTTCTGAGTAGAATTCCTTGTAACCGCAAGCACTGGGTGTGCCTGACTATAGAGCCAAAAGCATCTTTAATTGTGCTGTTTTTCCTCCTCTTATTTTTAATGGAAGACACTCCCATGTAAGAACCTTAGAAGCTGACAGAAAGGGCTGGATTATGCCACCCATACTGACGCATCAAACCCTCCTGGTAACTGGCACACAAGGGGCTGGTTGTGCTGTGTTGTGAGACTTGTGATGTGCAGGGGAAGCACGATCAGAAGCGCAGCGTATCGCAGCTCTGGGGAAGGATGTGTTATTTGTTAGCTTTTTAGAATATGCTCGCGTAAGTTGAATTTACTTGTAATAAAATGAGCTCAGATGTTGTGGATGAGCAAGGGAAAAGGTGGCAAGATAGCATCTTGTTCTTTACTTTTCCTTCTTTCTGCCAATAAATGCAGCTATAGATGAAAATTTGCTGTAAATGGCTGTAGCTCCAAGACTTCTGTATGTTAGCATTTCTTAATTCTTCTGGAAAGCGCTGTGTAACGTACACAGACCCAAAGAAATAAATAAGAGAAAATAAAAAAATTGCGACCAAAAAACCCCAAGTTGATTTTTTTTTTAACAGAAAAAGGGGATTTGTGTATTAATAATTCATGAGTTCTCATTGAACATGCACGAAGAAACGGTGCTATTCAATAGAGAATACTGTCATCTGTCACTGTTTTATTTGACATTTACACTTTTTTTTTTTTGCCTGGTACTGCAAAACTTTCTTGGATGGCGTGATAAGATTATTTAAATAAATAACTAAAGAATCCAATGCAGACTTTTCATCTGTATATGGGGAAGGCGGTTACTTGCAATCATAAAGAACATGTGAGTATGCTGCAGTGCCGTGTTTTCTCACATACTAACCCAAGTTATCACCTAGTAAGCGGCCCCAAAAATGGATGGAGTCTTGAATGGAGGGATGAGAGAATGGGTACTCAAAGAGAAAGGTAGGAAAAGAGCAGTGAAAGGAGAGATGTGATGCAGATAGGCATGCACACGCACATGGTGGGTACGTGCATCTATGTGTGGGGGTGAGCGAACGATAGCTGTTGTGAAGAAAGCTGCCACAAATACATTGCTGTTACTGGTGGAAAAATAAATATTTATAAATGGCGTTGGGGAGATCCAGTCGCACAAAATGTGAGAGAAGACAGGGCATTTAGCACAAAGACAATTCAGAGTTAGGCGCACCTTGCAATTTCTTGCTAATATTAGGCTCATGAAAATCTTTCTGCTCCGTAGGTTAGTTATTATTTATAAAAATCACAGAACCAGCTGATACATTCATAAGCTAATTATTGTAGCAGCTGGGTACACATGGTGCAATATGTCTGAGGCTGTGAAGTATCACAGATTTCTTGGGGCCTGCTGTGGTGGGGGTGTGCTGTTGAAGGCTAGATCCCTTAATCTGATCAGCCAAGCAAATACTTTGTGGGGAAACTGGATTAATATCTCTCTAAATACCATGGATGTGCTTCACCTTCAGAACCAGGCTCCTTTAAACGTGCCATTAGCTTATCTCCTTTGGGGAATTGAGAAGTTCTCAGGTGTCCTCAGGATGACGGTGTCTTTGCCTGGTGCCTGCCTTTGCCAGAAATTAATTTCGTTTGCTCATGTCTGCACACATGGTCACACTGCAGTCTAATCTTTTCCCTAATAGCTCCAAGGTCAAGACCTCGCATGTTGCCAGGCAAATTGAGCGCTACCCTTCTTAAAGACTAATGGCAGCGAGTGCGTTGTCCATAATGAGGCCTGTAGTGTTGCTCTAAGTGATTGTAATGAGCGCCGATTATAACGGGACAGATAAATCAAGATGCAGCCCTTGCTGTTGGGCTGGCTGGGCCAGCTCTCGGGAGTGGAGCCTCCTCCACTGAGGAGCTGGGCAGTCCATGGCCCTTGGGAGAGGGAGAGCCGTTCTGCCGCAGGCCTGGCCTGTGCTGGGCTCGGCTCCAGCAGGTACAGGGCTTTGCCTTTATCTGCTGCTGAAGGATTGGTCCAGGTGCTATGGCGTCCCTGGGGACGTATTAAACATACCTGCATGAAACGTTTGAAACAGTTCTGGTGGAAACTTACTCAGGTCAGTGAAAAGCAGGGAGAAACACGAGTTTGTTTTTTCCACAGATGGTTTGTTTTCCATCTCAAAAATTATTTCCTTTGTATGGCGAAGCCCCCGAGAACTCACCGTGGAACTGTGAGATTTTTTCCCCTTTATTTTCTCCAAATGAAAGTTTATGGGGATTTCTAAGCTGAGGAAGGGGATTGAGGAGTGCTGAGGGCAAGAGATGTGGTCAAACTGAATTGAAATGCAGGCATCACCTGGCTGAGAGATTACCCAAAGACTAGTCAAAATACTTGGAAAAATATAGATTTTTTTTTTCTTTCCCCTAAGTAAATGATTAGATATCTTGTTTTCATCCTTGCCCCACTACCCCCCAGCCCTCTTAGTTTATTGCAAGAAAAGATCAGGTCTGCACAAATGTGGCCTCTCACTTGTAAAAACAAGGCAGTGTTGTGTTACAGATTAGTTTATAAATCCCTAGTGGCTTCACAGTTCAGTGCCTACAGCTGCTGCAGATGGGCCTGGGTTTTTGTCTCTTTGCTGTGCTGCAGCCGGCAGTTGAAGGAGAAAATGGAATGATCAGGTTATTAACATGTAGGCCGCGAGGAAGAGGCTGCACAATGAGAACAGCTGGTGTTGCTGTCTTGGCTGATGCAGCGGAGATAATCAAATCTTGCCTTTTTTGGGGGGTGAAGGCAGAAGACATAGTGGAGAGTGAGACAAACAACGGCTCATGATATAATATGCAGGGTTTATAATGCATGTTAGAAGTTGTCAATGGCTTACAAGTTGTGATACAATAAAGCAATAAAAAAAAGTCCTGTATGAGCCTCTAATGAACCTGTCTGTTCAGCTTGCTCTTGTCTCTGTTTGGAAAAACACAATTTGGCTACTTCTTGTACTGTACGGTTTTAACGTTGATCAAGTTACTTTTTAGGTATTGTAAGGTGTCTGTTGAAGTGGCGTCAAACTGCTGAGTTACAGCTCAAAAATGATGGGTTATAGAGCTACTAGGTAAAATATTTTGACAGGAGTCACTAAGGCGTGTTGACAGCATCCTCAGCATTATCTTCTCGTTTTCTGTCATTTGCATCCTGTCTCCTTGTGCACACGCACAGGAGAGGCACTGCTGTCCTCAGCCCCACGTGGGCCGGCTGCGTCCCCTCCACAAAGGAGCAGCAACAGACCCATCCCTGGGTGACTGCTGGGGACCTGGGGTCACCCCCACACATGCTTAGAGCATGTGAGGCTGTTCTCACCTTACAGCTTCTGCCACCTTGCCCTCTGCCTGGCTTTGTGTTTTAGGGTTGTTTCCATCTCCTGAAGTGCTGGCACTTCCTACTGCAGTGCTCTGAGCTCTCAGTCCCTCTGGAGCAGTCCAGAAGGATTTAGTACAGTGGTAACTTTTTGAGATCCAGTCACGCAAAATGTGAGAGAAGACAGGACATTTAGCACAAAGACAATTCAGAGTTAGTTTCAAACTAACTATTCAACAAAATAGGACTTATAAACTCGATTATTAGGATCACTAGCTGATCCTAATTACGATTATTTCCAACCAGCATCTCTCTTTAAGTCTGCTTTAAGTCTGGATGATGTTCCATTCACATCTAGTTCCTCAGTGCTTAGCGAATTAACTGTGCTGACCCTCCTGTTGCAGGGCTGGCTGTGCGAGCTACTTCGCTGGAAAGAAAACCCAAGTCCAGAAAACCGCACCCTCTGGGAGAACCTCTGCACCATTCGCCGCTTCCTGAATCTTCCTCAGCATGAGAGGGATGTGATCTATGAGGAGGAGTCCAGACATCACCACAGTGAGCGTATGCAGCATGTTGTCCAGCTCACTCCCGAGCCTGTACAGGTCAGAGTGCTAACTTCCTTCTCAAGGAGTTTTTGCAGGGAAACAGCCAGTGGAAGTAGACAAAAGCAACTGGTTTGAGCTTCCCTGTGGTTGGCAAGTTGAGACACACCAATTTTTATCTGCCTGTAGGACTGCATGCAAACCTCAGCTCTCAAGGTATAAGCAAGCTCCCTGTGTGAATGCTGCAGCGTGTATGCGAGTGTGTGCAGGTTTGTGTTGGTGGCTCAAGAAGAGAGATGTGCCAGATCATGCCACCACCAACTGCAAGGTCAGCACTGTGATGTTATGGAGCTCCCATCGTGTCAGTAGCTGTGTTGTGACTGAAGCAATTTAGCTGCCTAAAGCTGCTGGCATTTGGAAGAGCACAAATGTGTTCCTCAGCAGCAGCAAGAGAAGGATACAGCTGGTTAGGAAGAGGAGCGGGAGCAGGGTTAGGTCAGCTGTTCCTCCTCACAGAACCTGAGCTCTTCTGATGCCTGCTCTTTAACTGTGTCCAACAGGCAACTGCAGTCATAGTTTGTAGTTTCTCTCTCAGCCTGACAGGTATCTCTAATAACTAATGAGGCATGTTACAAAACTGAATGTGTGTGGTAGTGGTCAGAAGAGACTCAGGACTGGTCTGAAGTGAGAGCTGGACTTCAAAACTTAAGAGAGATGCTTTCTTCACTCCACATTTTTGTGAACCCAAAATTTAAAACAGTTACCTGTTTTCATAGTGGAAGGAGAGGTTGTGAGTGTTACTTGCACTTTGGCCATGTTGCCAAACATTAGAGCAGCTGTTGATCTGAAGGCTCTCTGTTAGGTGTTGTTTTAAAAATTAACCAAAATGAATGCTGCTATTCAACTGCAGGCATCTTTCCACAAGACACTTGCAAGTGTCATGAAATCAGTGAGACCTGTGAACAGTAGAGGAAGGGATAAGGCCAGGAATGGGAAGAACTTTCCAGAGAGGCAGATTGTTGGGTGGGTGGGCTCCAGGAACAGTGTGGCAGCTCCAGTTCTGAAAAAGCTTTTTATTCTTCTGCTCGTTTTAAGTATGTTATCTGGGTTGTCAGCATTCTTTAGTGGTACTTCTGGAGAATGGGCTAGGAAGTAAGGGAATGTTACGGAAACAAGGCCACTGTTGAGAGAGGGCAAAAGTGTGATAGGTGACAGCAGTCAGGATGTAAGGAGGACTGATGTGTGACAGTGGTTGAAGCTCAGGAGAACTTGGGGGGCAGAGACCAAATGAATGAGAAGGGGATGTATATGCTCAATCTAAAAAATCTGGAGTAACGCTTTCCATAGCAGAACATTGTCACTGCTGGCCCTCACAGCCATTTCACCTGATTGTATTGTGCGACGATTGTCAGTCAGCTGTGTTTCTCTCTGATAGTCTCAGGGTTCCTCCTCCCACCTTTTCTCTCCCCCTTATGGTTTGGTCACAACTTGCACTGCTGTGTGACCCTTGCTGTGAACCCTTATATTCAGCCTATGCTCTTTGTCTCTGCTCTTGTTCTGCTGCTGCTAGAACTGTTGCGAACAATCTATTCACCTTTCTCAAAGGTGGGAGGTTTTCCCATTTAGTCCTGCCCCTCTTAAAACACCTTTGTCTCACCAAGATTAATTATTGCCTACTTCGGTCTCCTTTGTCTCTTCTGCTGTTGACTTCCTCCTTGATCTTCATTTTGTCTTTGCCTAGAAGAAAAAAAAAATTGTGGTTCCTGGTTTTCAGATTCTCAAAGCTTTACAGTAAAGGAAGTGCTGTAAGTACTATTGCAAGTTTTGGCTTCGATGTTCCCAAAAGTTTGTGAGATCTTGAAGGCAAGGAACTACAGAAGGGTAAAGGGCTGAGATAATACATGAGAAGATGACTAGAACTGCGTAATTTAAACAAATTAATCCAGTTGTGGTGCCCACACCAAGCAGGAAATATCCTCTAAGGGATAGTGTGAAGAAAAAGTTTCCTTGAGCTCTCATTGGTGACCTTGTTGATTAGCCTACTTTCTAAGTCTTCTGCATATCACTTAGCTGTGTAGGGCAGGTTGGCTCTTCTGAGTGACACGTTACAGTGCATTGGAATGTGATGCATTTGTATTTGTCAGCAAGTTACAAAGCCATGGATTAATTATTTATTACAGTCAAAATATGAAAAATGAAGAAAAATAAATGGAACCAGCTGGCAACTACATAAAACAAAACTCTGGAGACCCTGGTATATGGTTGATACGGTAGGCTTGTGTTTTGAGGGCGTTGCATTTTAGAGCTATGTTTGCCCATCCAAAAAGCCCAGTAGGCTTCTGCATGGCATGCTACACCAGTGCAAGACACAGGAGGCTCAGTGTCCACCTGCTACCTACTGCACCAAGCAGTTTTTGTGCCATTTTCAGTCTCTGAGACTTGAATTGTCTCAGGCAGCAAGGTTAGCTCTTTGGCTTTGCTGCAAGGGTCAGTATTAGGTAATTAGCTGTGAAGAATCAAAGACAGCAGCAAGAGACATAAAACAGAGGTCCTCACACTTGCAGTCGCTGGAGATTTTGTGACACTTTACATAAGGGTAGGGGTCTTGGGCTCAACTCCTGGCCAAACTCCAGGCCAAGTAATTACATTCTGCCTATCTAAAATTCCCTCTGTAGTGTCAAACGGGGAAGCAATGCTCATTTCCTTCTCAAAGCAGTGGTGGGTGCAGAGTGTCTGTTGAGGTGCCATTGTGCATTTTAGCAGAGGTAGAAACATCGAAGAGCTGCAGAAGCTGTCCTACTTTGCTTTGCAGACTTTGCTAGTGAAAAGTGCACTGTAAATCAGGCCTTTACGTGCAGCCTTGATGTCACGATGACAAACCTTTGAAGGAAGTATGAGTAGCAGTGCTGAAAATAATAGCAGGTGTAGTGCTGTAACACTGAAGCAGGCAGGAGTCTCTTAGCTCTGTTTTCTTTCTGCTTAGCCCTTCTTCCTGCCTGCTGTGAAAGACTTGGTGTGTGTACGGTGTACGGTATTTTGTTCCTGATGCTTGAGTCTCTCTCTCCTCCAGTGATGAGGCAGAGCCTGAAATCGGGCTGCCCCACGCTGCTGCCAGAGCACCCTGCCACCACAGCCAAGCCCTTGCTCCTCTGTGGTGCCCACACCTCTCCCATCAGGCTGGAAGAACCTACTGGTTGTCATCGTGAGGCACGGCCAAACAAAAGAGAGTGGATGTATCAAGTATAGCCTTTTCCCAGCACTGCTTCTTGGAAATGGCAAAGAGTTCATTGTGCTGGGCTCTGTGTAGTTCATGTGGTGATTATGGGCTTGGGCATACCTTCAGTGAGGGGATCACCCTGAGGCTGGTGTGGTTTCTGTACAGTCACGGCAAGGTGAGTCCAGTGGGGCAGTCGTAGTGCTGTGGAAGTTGGACGGAACTTGGCTCCTGATGTTTGAGGGACTCCTGTGTAGTTCTCCTGTGGTAGGTTGTTGCCCTCTGTTCTGTGGCACTAGCCCTAGCCTCACTGTTTAGTTTCAGGCTTGGTACTTTACAAAGAAACATTTTTTTTTTTCTCTTCCATTAGATTTTTCCTGTCAGCCATATATTAGGCCATTTAATTATATATTTTCCTATTTCTGAAATGAAAAATGTGTGCAGTGGAAGCTTAATGCACAAGGAATTCTTCCCTGCACACTTGATTTATTTGTTATTGTGTGGAGAAGTCATAAAATCTGAGCCCTGTGGAGCTCTGTGACATGGCAGTGCTCTCTGGCAGCATTGCGTGTGACCATATGGACATGCTGGGGCATGGACTTTCCTACACACGCCAATTGCAGAGCATCCACGCTGCACCTACACAATGCTGTGCATTGCTGTGCAGGCTGACACAGCCTGCCACAGCCTCAGGTATGCACTGAGTGGCTCTTCGCCCTCCAATTCTGTGCAGTATGTTGCCATCAATGTGTTCTGCTGTGGGACTAAGGGGACCCGTGAGCTTGTGCCTAGCTGGATCCCACAAATACTTCACCTCTGATTTATAGAGTTTCCCAAGTCACAGGCTGCTAGGGATGAGAGGCATGCTGGAAAGCAGCATTGTATTTTTGCAGTCTTCTCATCCTCTTCTGCTACCGTCAGGTGCGGGATCCTGACTGGAACTTTGATCTGGCCCAGCCTGGCTCTTTTTACACAGATTTGCTGGACAGCCACTTTGCAGCAAGCAGTCTTCACACTTCTGTGTTCAGCTTCCTGCTCTGCACAGGTGAGACTGCCCTGTCATGCTTTCTGTTCCTCGCCAAATCCCACTGCTCCCAGCTGTTCACTGGCATTGGACCTTCCTAGCATGTTGATGCTGAGAGGTGCCTCCAGCCCTTTCCTGCTGCTAACCAGGGATTTGGTGTTTGTTACAGACATGCCGGGACACAGTAAATCTAATTTCTCTCCCTTCTCCCACTATTTGTCTGTTGTATACAAGGTGACCACTCTGGAGAATAGCCGTGTTGCCTGACACTTTAATATGGTGCTAATTCATTGTTAATTGCTGGGGCAGAGAAACCTGACTCAGTTGGGAAAATGATGAATGAAGCTGTTGTCTCTGGAGTGTTAGTGTGGATAAGCCATTTCTCTGGAGCCATGAGCCACCACTACAGCAAAGTACCTGCTATTTCAAAAGCAGGGAAACCTCGCCTTTCATTTCCTGCATAAGATATCAGAGAATCTTCTGAAGCTGGTAGGTACATGCTGATTTAAGAGCAGTCAGATAGTGGCTTTAAAGAAGCGGGAATGGTTTTCACATACTTTCTGATATGTTGTTACTTTGGTAGCTTTATAAAAAATTGTATCTTTCCACTTTTTTTTTTTTTTCTCTGAAGCTTTGATTTAGACAAATCTGGCGATTTATAATAGCTCAGATTGTAAATCATGGAGGAGTATTAGTAAATAAAGGAAGGCATGAAAGAAAGCTGTAGGAAAGCTCTTTTGTGCTGTGTGTTCATTGCAAACATTGTAGTCTTTCTTTAAATATGCAGAAAATAGCATACTGCAGAACTACAAGAAATACTAA